TGCACTTGGACATCGTACTCAGTCTCCGAAGTGAGAGTGATTTTTATCTTATATAACATATGTGCTGGCAATTTCAAGGAACAACACAGAGAGCTGAGGATACAGCTTCCCGATTACTGGTCAGAACTAGGTTTTGAATGCTGAATGCTTGGGTGAAATTCACCACTGTGGCTTTGATTAATCTGCCCTATTTTAAATGCATTTTAAGGCACACAGGCTGTTAACCAGGCCCTCTTCAATGGAGTGAATTTCACCTTCTAAGTATATTTTTGTGTGACTTTTCTTTGAGCCTTTTTAGTGTTCCTTTCAAAAGGGAAAGGGGAAAAAGGTGATAGGATGGTTTGGGGCCTCACCAATGAGATCTGGAGTCTATCACCCCTAGCTCGTGGGTTTGAATCTTCCCCCAGACAGCAGTGACTAACCATTTGTTTGTACCATTTGATAGCTCTTTGGTGACCTATGTGAAATGGAGATGATGGTTTCAGTCCACTTCCTAGCGGCAAGTGTCTGTACCACAAAGCCACCATCACTAGTGGCACTAGTTGGTTAGACCCTCTGTTGGTAGATTCATCATGAAGACAGAGGAATAAACATATTCTGGAGATTAAAGTACTCTCTCACCCCATTGTTGATCCCTATTCCTATCCTCGTGGAGTGGGGCATATGTGCCTTTCCACTGCCCATTGTGTCCTATGTCTCTTGCTAGAGGACTTAACTCTGCAGGGCTATCAGTCCTGTACCTGTCACCGCCACTAAATCCACTTTATAATTTAAAAAAAAAAAAAGCATGTGTGTGTCGGGGGAATCTCCCACGGAAGTGAACAAGTGTTGAGGAAATTAAAAACGACATGTTCTTTTTAGCTGTTCAAACCAATTGTTCCAATGTAACGTTAGATCTGGGTTTTTTTAATGTAATTTAAGTGCTGGGTAGACCTTAACAGCACTATCTAGCGTGGAACTCTGGAATCTGGCACTTTATACATTTTAGATTTTTGGATCTACTTGAGCTGACAGAGCCCTTGTATCTGTACTTATTGTGGCACAAGTACAGCATGTATGTGCAGTCAGTATTTGTGGGGAAAATCCATGTGAAATTTCTTTCCCAGGCAGTGACTGCACATGGGCTGTGGGTGCTTGGCAACGTTAAATATCGTATCCAGTTTAAATGTTTCAGATTTTAGCTCAGCCATGTTGCTCGCTGATCACTGAGCAAATGCCCAGTCTGGATCAGGCAAATCAAAGGCCAAATCCCACTTGCCTTATTCATGTAAACCATCCTGTGGCCCCATCTTTCTCCTAAAGATCTGTAGATAGATTTACTCCCAGGCTCAAACTCTGTGGGCTCCCGACACCATGTATGTGAGAGGGATGCATATGTTCACTGAGAGAAGAATAAGAACAGGAGGACTTGTGGCACCTTAGAGACTAACAAAGTTATTTGAGCAGAAGCTTTCGTGAGCTACAGCTCACGTGCCACTAGCTGAGCAAATGGATGACCAGATTGTCCACTTCCATAAAGACATCTGTGGAAAGGAAACCTGGACTTTATTCCAAACTGTCCCATCAGAGGATTGGTGCTTGACCTTCTAAACCCTCATATATTGTGAGACCTACTGGGAAATGCCGTGGGCCTTGGGCCATCTGCACAGAGGCACAGGGTCTCCACATCACTCCTCGGACCACTTAGCACCACAACATCAGGACTCCCATCCCATATAGTCCCTGCTGCTGGCTACCCTGAGTCCTCTGACTATGGCTCACTGTGTGCAGAATGGATCACCATTGTGGATGGGAACCCTGTGGACTTTTGGGTGGACAATGCCCAGGAGGGACAGGAGTGTCTTCCCAGCTCATCCCCTCCCAGGAAGTCTGAACTCCCAGGTGAGAGCACACTGTGTGGGGCTGCTGCTATCTTCCTTTTGCTTCCCTCTAACTTTTTGAGCAGAGAAACAGAAGGGACTATTTGGGCCTAGCAAATTTCTTGGAGCCAAGTGATAAACCAAGGTAACAGGAAGGTTATGATAGAAATGCAGTTCTGGCAGATGCTTAACTGCATCATTTTCCTGCCATCACTCTAAAAACTGTGGAAAAGGCGCCCTTCTATTTTTCTCCTGAAGTTTTGTGACCAGAGACAGCCTATGAAACAAGTGTTTGCTGCGCCTGTTTCCCTTCCCCAAAATAACAGCTTCTTTTTGACCATTATCACGCCACATGGTGTAGGCGGACTAAGGGTTCTGGGGAGGGCAAATGAAATGGTTCTTTGGGATACACCCCAAATGTAATTAATTCGTTTTCCTTAACAGGCCCTATCTTCCGCTAGTTGTAAATAGGCATAGCTCTATTAGCATCAGTGATCTAGCCCAAAATGTGTGTGTAGGTGGCAAGGGGATGCTTAGGCCAGAGCAGCTTCCTACTGCAGATGTGGAGCCCAGCTGTTTGTTCCTTTCAATGCTAGCAGTCGTTTTACATCCGTTTACATTTTCAGGGCCATCTCTGCAAAAGAAAAGGGATAGACTCTTCCTTTCTAAACAATTAAGTGAAAGCTGAAATTTACATTTCTTGGCTGCCCAAATCAGGAAGGGTTCATGGTTAAGGAGTTTTGAGGGGCCTAAAGACTGGTTCCACATACGGCTAACTCTTTTCCCCACAGCGCAGCCAGCTAATGACCATCTTTATTGTTGCATTTCTGAATCGGATTTTAATTATGCATACCACATAGCTAAATTTGGGGGATCTACAGTAACTGCCCATCAGGGGACAATATTGCAAACACTAGCCTAGCAATGGTAATTGTAAGATAAGATGTATTTCTAGCAGACTTGCATTATTGAGCTCTTTCTAGAAATTTGATTGCATTTAATTAAAAATTATTGGTTTAAATCTACTCCATATGGCTTTTCTTTTACGTATGAAAATTAAAAAGTGAATTTTCTCATCTGTCAGTTTCAATGCCCCCCACCCAATCACAAGCATTCAGAACGTGGTGGTTTCTGGATCATTATAATTCTATATCCTTTTCAAATTCTGTTCATTGAAACTTTAATGAAGATTTGCACTGGTTCATTCATCAACTATGTAGCCTTTCACCAATATACAGACAGATGCTAGCTACCAACACTAGGTGAATATAGTGAGGTGCCATATGTGTTACATATGTGCTGTTTCAAAGCAGTCAGGGTCTCAGATGAGTAAAAAAAGCATCATAATAAAAGTAGGCCAGGAATTTTAAGTTAATATCATCATGAGGCTTTCTGTGGCAGGGTTACTTCTCCTATGATTCCATACTCTAAAGTTAGGGCCCTTGAAGTCCGTTTTAAGAAGCACCATTTTAACAATAAATATACTAACTATATATATGTGTGTGTGTGTGTGTATATGTGTATATATATATATATAGTTAGTACACACACACACACACACACACACACTATGTACAATTACCCTATTTTGAGATTAGACTATTCAGTTACATAATGCGCTGGATTAGAACAGAACTATATTGTTTATCCATTTTGATAATCCATTTTGTGCATGGTCTTTTTCTGTTTTGTACAGCATTGAATACATGAATGAAGCTCAATAAAAACTTGTTAGTAACATGCACATCTCTGCTCCCCAAACAGCCTTCTGCCAAGAAAGGGGTTATTTAGGAATGCCCAATTTTCATTTTTCCCTTAGCAGCAGAAACAGCATACACAACAAACAACCTGAAATACCATGTTCAAACCTTGACCTCGAGACTTCCTTGAACCAGTTCTGATTGGCTTTTCCCCATATGTCTAAGTCATAACAATTTACATAGTTCAATATTTTTACCTTAAAGAACAACCCAAAATGGGTGGTATGTCTCTGATACAAACAAATGGCCCAGTTTCAAAGCAAATGTGAGTTTTCTCAATGGAAACAGAGCTGCTGAAAGGAAAATGACAGTGGACCATTAGTGAGATCTGACTAATGTGAGCTTCCCCAAGCAGTTAATATTTTGATTTCCTGCCCTATGCAAAATGCATAGGAGGAGGATATTTGAAAACACACATTTCATGAAAAAGTGAAACATGAGTGTGAAACAGCTCAGGTGGGAAAGAACAAAAGATGCATTTAAAATGTGGCTGGAAGACTTAAATTCATGTAACTTACCCCAGATTTTTCATTCAGGTGCCTTTCCTTTGTTTCCCTGTTACCTGTTCTAACTGGAAGCAGTGGGCTAAATTCCCTTCTCCTTTACACTAATCTCACCCCATTGGCTTCAAGCTATGATATGATTATAAAATGAAATAGGGAGGTTATAGTGGCATATCAAGGAGAAGACAAACGGTCCCAAATAGAGTTGCACCAGAACAAATAGTTAAAGCGAAGCTGAAAAATCACAAAATGCAACACATGCAGTTTCAGAAAAAACATTTATGTAATTCATTCAGAAGTCAGAAGCTGCCAAAACTCCATAATGAAAGATTTTTAAGCAATTTAATAAATTAATAGACTGTTCAGATTAGGTCCTGGTTTGCTTGGCATTTTTGGGTCCATATTTAATTGCTGTACTTTGAAGGATAAATTAAGTACACAATGTTGCATATGGAAATTGGCAAGAATGATGAAATGAAAGCCGAGATTCCAGGACCCAGTAAGATAGTTTGTATCTGTAATAAATTCCATTCAAACAAGAATTCAGAAATATTGCTCATAAAAAAAATAGGTCCACCAGAGTAAAATGATTATTTTTAAATGCACTTTGTTTGACTTATGTCCTCTACCCAGATATGATCATCCAATTCCACTGGGTTTGTTAGTATGTGTTTACAAAAAGAGTTTCAATACATCTTAATTTAGTCTCTTTTCACTGATAATGGTTTATCTTGTATTCTTCCAAACTCTTTCTTGAAAGCATTGCCTGAACAAGGAGAATAAGCCAAGCAAAACGGAGGATCTGCCTATGACACCTAACAGAGGAAGTCTTGATTGGTCAAGGCTAGCAGGTCTTACATAATAATTTACTACAGTACCTTTCTGTTTCCTGGTCTGTGGTTTGCTGCTTGTTCTCAAAGGCTGTGAAGCTGCTCATATCCACATAGCCGTCATTCTCATTAGCAGCAGACAATGCCCTACTGGGATCTTCAAAAAATTCTGTAAAAGTTCCTGCTCTAGTTGGTCTTCGAGGTGGAATTTGTATATTTTCATAATCAGAGCTCACAGCTGGAATGTTCTCATAGTCAGAAGTATCAGCATTAGGGAACGAAATAGACCTAGGTTTAGTTAAGGGAAGTGGCATGAAAGGAGGTCTGGATCGATCCTCAAAGGACTCCACTCTTGACACACTCCTGCTAAAGGTTTTGGGTGTCCCTTTTCTTTTACCATCCTTGTAGAAAAGAACAGTAGAGGGAGACTCAGAAGCTCGCAGCTTCCCAGGATGGGACTTTAGCTGAGGTGAACTACTCAAGCTCCTTCTGTCCAGTTCCATAATCCTAGAAGGCCCGTGATAGCTAGACTCTGAAGAGGACCTTGAAGAGGAAACATTAACATCCACATGGACCTTATTTTCTGTCTTCTTCTTGAATTTTAGGGTGAGGAACCTCTTAAAAGATGATTTCTTTTTCTTAGTGTACTTATCAGGAGATTCATTCTCTATTAAAAGTGAGGGGGAACTTTTAGTGATTGGCTTTTTGGTGATACAGGCTAGTTCAAAAGGAGGTGGTATATCAACAACTGAGGATGGGGTGGACACACCACTTGATGAAAGGTGATTCCTCTGCGAAAAGCTACCTGAAGAACCAATTACACAGGGCAAAGAGAGGTTGTCTTCTGTCCTCTTTATTCTATTGTCATCCAATGTAGAGCCATCGGTTTCTCTGTAAACAGAGACTGGCATATCTCTCCCTTCTACCGAGTAAGACCGTGGGTATAAAATAAAGCGTCTTGATGTGGCTGGTAAGGCCCTATTGATTTCCATTGGTTTTCCTTCCAATGGCACTAAGTTATTGGTTAAATATTCAGTCATAGAATCATCATTTGAGGACTGTACATCCGTTTCTGGTCCAGTTTCTTCTGGAACAGTTTCTGGCACATAGCCAGGCACTTTCCCAGAGAGTGACCTTGTTCTAGTGACCATACTTTTTCGATCAATGGATAGCAGGTTGTTTTCAGTGTCTACAATTAGTTCTTCTCTTATGCTGTAATCACATGGAATATCTTCTAATTCAGTCTGCACCACTTCTCTAACATGAGGGATTGCATTCTCTGAGGGCATCACATAAGGATCATCTAGAGAATCACTGGTTGTTTCTCCTTCCTCATGTACAACAACTGCTTCAGGGACTTCTAAATACTCACTAGACTCATGTTCACTAGCACAGTCTGCTTTAAATTTACTGTGATCACATCTAGCTAATTCTTCCGCTGTATGGTATTTATCCTCAATTGATGCTTGTTCGGATGGATTTGGGGAGCTTTCTTCAAAGCTACTATGACGGACCTTGTTGCCTTCAAACACTTGTTCATCTGATTCAGATTCTCCCAAGACACATTCATTGTCACCACAATCTTCAACAAACACATTTGGTTTAGATTCCACTTCCAGCTCTGGCTCACTAACAGTTTGAGGGCTAGAGAGCTGGCTATCATTACTCAAAGTCCTTTCCAGTTGCAAATTCTCATCTAAGTTTTCTTGGGGTGAGTCAATGACCTCTTCATTGCATTCACTCTCAAAAGGAACAATTTGACAACTATCATCTATATTTTCTGCCTTCACCACTTCTTCCTCTTTTTCAGAGTCTTCTCTAGGCTCACATGTTGTCTCTGATGTTTCCTCCTCACTCTTCATCTCAATGGTTTGGTACCCATCATCTATATAGTCTTCCCTTTCCACATTTGTTTCTTTGTCGCTATCTGGACCTACTTCCTCTTCTTCAGCTGCAGCTTCATTGATGGAACCTCCCAAATCCTCTTCTGCATCAGGTTCATTTTCTTTCAGTCCTAACCCAATGTCTGTTTCTTCTTCATCAACATCATCGGCATTTGCACAATCATAATTTACTAATTCCGTTTCTGTACTCAATACAAACTCTGCATTATCATCCAGGTCACCATTATTTGCTGGACTCACTTCCGTGTCATCATTTGATAGCTCATCTTCTAAAGTTTGGGGCAGTTCATCATTCTCTTCTGGTGTTGGCTCATCATCTACAGGTAAATGTGTTAGAATAATGTCTTCACAGATATTGCCCGTCAAGTCCTCATCTCCATTCAAAATCTTACAGTTTTCCAGGTTATACTCATTATTGTCCTTTACCAGATCGAGGTTATTAAACGTTTCCTCAGCCTCACCTTTGAAATAGTTTTTCGGATCATCTACACAGTCCATTTCTTCATCCATATTCTTAGAAGCAACATCTTCTACTTCAGGGGCTCCTGAAGACACTTGACTAAGTGCTTCAGACCTGTCACAGTCTCTCATTTCTGTTGATCCATCTGACTCTGGTTCCACATGTTCCACAGCATCTGAACAGTCATTGTCCTTGGCTTCAGTTATTTCTGGATTACAGATCTCCTCTTCATCAGCTATGCTATGATCCTCTACCTCCCCTGCTGCTTCTGGAGTTTCTAAGACCTCATTCTCTGGTGATGACTCTAAACACTGGTCATGCGCATGTTCAAAGTCATCACAGTCTTTATCAGTCAGCTGAGCTTCAGGAACTACGATGTATTCATCACCAGCCTCAGATTCTAAGCACTCAATGTTGCATTGATTTACTTCATACAGCTCTCCATCAGGACATATCAGTTTTCCATTTGTGAATTTATTTAAGTTATTGTTGGTATAAACACTGGATCTGCCCTCGGTGTCAGCTGAGAGTTTTGGCTTGGGAGCAATGGGTGGTTTTGGACCCCTAGACATAGAGTTTGGATTATGAAGAATATCAGGCCTTGACAATGAAGAAGGAAATTTGGAGACAGCCACGGAAGAAAGATGACTGATAATCTTTGGTTTTGGTGCTAGTGGTGGTTTTGTGAAGTCTGGAAAAGAAACAACAAAAAAACCATATTAGCAGTTTGCCATCCTGGTTTCAACAAATATCTATTCACTGGTTTAATAGAAATATAGTGGCAGTGAAGCCACCAGAAAATCCACTGCAATTTGTTTATAGTAATTTTGACTAGAATTGTAGTGCAGCTGGGCCATAGAGGAGAATGGTGGCAGGAAGCACTGAACTACAATTCCCATGAAGCACTGTGGCCACTCAGGCGGACACAGCTTAATATCAGACTGAGCCAAACAGAAACCTATCAGTACAGGAATGTCAAAATTTTTCATTTCAATCAGAAATGTTGAAACAATGTTTCAATATTCCCAAAATGAAATTTTGGGGTTTTGACCAAATGTTTTCAGTTTTTTATGTTCAGATTTTCAATTAAAAATCAAAAGTTTCAGTGGAAAGAAGACACTTAGAAATCTTTATTGGAACACCCAGTTCCATCATAAAACAGTCTTTCAACAGAAAAATTTTGACCAGTTCTAGTTTTAATCCATAAAAATGCAGTGCAAGCAATTTGTAGCAATGTTTTAATCTGTATTGTAGACTGCAAAACAAATCCAACACTCAGTTTGTTCTGCCAGCAATTTAAATGGTTAATTCAGACTTGTAAAACTGACATGAATGTTTACCAGCCCAAAGCACAAAATCTATTCTCCCACTTTTACTATGGTGACTGATAATGAAAAACTCAATGATATGTTACTTGCTGGTCAACTAATTTATTCACCCAGGGCGAAAAGAATTTCTGAAGGCTTGGTTAAGTCTTTACATTAATTATGTAGCTGAGCTACAACACACTGAATGAAATCCTTGTACCCTAAAATGAGGAGAGGTAATTGGTGTCAACTTAAGTTCAGTTTTCAAAATGTATAACTTCTTCAGTTGCTTCACTGTTCAGAAGACACAACAACAATGTAAATGACAATCCCACTTGGCAAGCAATTCTCTTTTATTTAGAGTACATTTTGGTACTCCTAAAAGTTGAACATGGATGGCCCTGGAAACTGAAGGCCATGTTTTAGCTGAAGAAGAGCATAGGAGACTGCAAGCTTTTTCCACACCACCAACATTGACTCCATTATGTCAACCTGGGCTTTCCTGGCCACCCACCTATAGGGTGAGGTGGTATTTAATTATCCATGTACATTCAGCCCTCAGGTGGTACACTGCCAACAAGAGAGCCATTTAATGCCAATTTGTGGTGAGTTTTGTGATGTAGAGACTCATCCACTACAAACTAGACAGACCCTCAGTTCAGGTCATGCAGGCCACAGAATAGCCATCAGATGACCTGGGCAAGGCATGAAGCAGTGAGGTTGAGATGAAAGGCTCAATATCTCATCACCATTCATATGAGCTGTCCAATCACCTTTCTCAAACAATTTAATTTACTAGTTCCTTATCTGGAGGGAAAATTTGTCCAGTACTAAGGTCCTATTGGTACTTTAAAAGCCCATTGTTAGGCTGTATTCATCCCAGCATATACACATGTATCCCTGGTGACAGAAAGTTGGTTAGTCTCTAAGGTGCCACAAGTAGTCCTTTTCTTTATTCAGAGAGGGGTTGGAGCAGTTCAGGGTGTCTGCAACCTCCAGTCTCTTTTTGGGTGGGGCCTGACTTTGTGTATCAGAGCCCCCAGATGGGTGCCATTGACCATGCCAGGGTTCATGGCCAGTGTAACTAGCAGCTGCACTGATTCCTTTTCCTAGCACCAGAGCTTAAAGCTGGTCCCTTGTGGCACTGCCCAGCAAGTTAGCAATGAACTGCAGTTTCGTAACACCCTGCACCTCAAGCATTTCATGGACACTTGCAACATTTTGTGACAAAAGAAGTTTTACCAAATGCAATCTTTTGGTGATGATTTTTAGAATGTTAAAAGCATTATTTTGAAACACCTTAATCAGAGCCAAGAAAACTATCCTGATTAAAATTATCTTTCTATTGGGATTCCCACCAAACCCAAAGATATTCAGAAGCAAAACTGCAGGGCTGCAATATTAAAATTGTCAAATATTATCCTGCAATATTTTGGATTCACCGACTTTTTCTATATTAGTGTTAATGGCCTATGTAGGCTACAAAGCATTAGGTCTCTTTGATACAATTTGTGGCAAGCTATGTGATTTTTCTGGAAGTTTTCTACAGTATCATTCATACTGCAGTCTTCTGAGGTGAAATTTCAGTTTCTTGCACTCTCTAGGTCTGCATTTAACTATGCTGGTCATCTAGATAAGCACCAGAATAAAGTGACTCAAGGATGGTGGTTCAAGTCTGTTAATGAACAGCAGATATATCATTAATGCCAGCATGTGGACATGTCAGGAACACAAGCCAGAGACTTACAGATGGAGTGAGCTGTAGCTCACGAAAGCTTATGCTCTAATTAATTTGTTAGTCTCTAAGGTGCCACAAGTACTCTTTTTCTTTTTACAGATGCCCTGTTCGTCCCTGGAACAGGTTTAGCATGGAGAGCATTAGTGAAAGTTGCTATATAGTCCTGGCAAGATGCCTCATTTCTGTAATAGAGGAGCCACCTCAGTGAGGGAGAGGGTAGGAGAGCATCTGTTCCCATTCACACTGCTCCCCTGTGACAGCAAATAAGGTGGTCAATATGTGCCAGGTGTGGTGATGGTCATCATCCCCGTGATGTAGACATACCTGCCCTCTGCTACTGGACTTGAGACCCCAACCTGGGCCACTGAATAGCCAACAGATGGTGACAACTTTACCTCACAACCATCCTGGCCTGGATTTGACCCAACAGCTTGGAACGGAAAGGCTCCTTATACCATAGCCTCCCTGGTACCTCATTTTCAATCAAAAGTTGTATGATTTACTAACTCAGAATACACTGATAACTCCATTCAACAAAATAATGTTTTGCTCACAAGTAAGATTTTATATGGCACTGCTCCCCATGTCTGCAACCAAGTTTCTGTTTTTTAAAATAAATAAATGAAAATGCTGAGACACATGCATAAGTAAACATTGTTATTGGCTAAAAGGTATATTTGACTTATTGGATTTTCAGAGACATGACTGGAGGGTTTTTCTGAAATTCCTACCCTTGATGCAATTGCTTCTAATATGCGGGTTGATGCTGTAGATTTGCATTCTTTGTTTTACTCAGAAAACAATCTTCACAGAATCATAAAGCCACATCTTGAAGCCAGTGGGATTTAAGAACTGAGTTAAAACTGAGCAAAGGATTTCAGAATATGCCTCATAGAAATTAAAATTAGAATAAATTTGTTCATTAGGTCATCCATCCCAATCTCACAGAAGCCAATGAAAAATTATTACAGTACATTATCTAATGATGTGTCCTATCTAGTTTCCTATTTCCCAAGGAGGAAACCCTGTTCAAACAAAACTGCTGCTGCTGAAGGTCATCAGACACATATCTCCTGATCAGGAAGATAGAGGAGAAATCCTATCTAGAAGTCATGTGTACAGCAGCAGGGTCTAGACTGCCAATAGTTCTGGCTACTTTAAGATGAACTGGGTGGATGTTACAGGAGTGCTCTATAACTGTATATAGGTAAATAGTTAATAGATAAGGTGCCACTAGATGGCACTCAGGAATATGTAGCATAGATCCTGAATCTTGTAGGACTAATCAAACTTGTACAATGCAAATAGCTTCTTCTGGCAGCTCTTTACATTGGCTTTTAATTGGGGAAAATGCAAATGTAAGGGGCAAGGTCTCTGATGGTTGAGTAAAAGGAAGATGAGGAACCCCTGCATTTTGCATGGGCAACTACTGGAGGTCATTCAACACATTTATCCTTGCTTCAGTTGAGCAAGTTGCAAAGGCACTCACCACTAAAACCACGCACGATAAGGGAGGAAGAGTACAGTTACTGGATGCTAAGAAGGAAAGAAAGAAAGTCTAATCTCACTTAACTATCAACGTTGGGCATTTCATGTACTTTTAACATGCCACAAAGTGCAGCTAAATGTATAACAATGCTCTGATAATATATATGTTAGCTCTAGAAATATCACATGTAGCAAAGGTAAAATGACAATATGAGCACATCCTTATCAGATAATTTACTGTAGTATTTGTAGCTTCCAGTGTCCAATCTCTATGAAGATTCCTTAATACCAAATCAGACAGTTCTGAGGACAAAGGGAGCTGGGCTTCTGTTATTTCCATCTTTGTCTTCAGTATCTGCATCAGAGATGCTCCTCTGCTTACTAGTAGTCTGCTTAGTAGTCAGAGTATAGCATCCTGCTGGTGCTTACCTCTTCAAGCTCCAGAAATGAATTAAATCAACATGTTCTGCACCTGGCAAGTGGTATCTTTAAATGAGTCTGTAAAAATAAATATCCACTGACTGGATTATTTCAGCTAAATGGTGATCACTTTGTTCACTTTAGGAATCTGCGACACGAGTGATTCCATTAATACTTCCAGAGAACTTTTTCTTTCCACAAATCAAATGGTCTCTGGAGAATACCAGCATGTTGAAGGTCCATCAGCAGACAGAGGAAATCACTGTTCATCTTGATTGCTCCTCCATCATTAGCTGGGCTGGGGACTTGGGTGCAGAGTGAGAGATGACAGCTCAAAAAACAAGAGAGAGACAACTTCTCTGCCTCTCAACTGTTCCTGAGACCTTTCTTCCGGTCCTCTACCTCCTTAGTTTTCATTTGAGATGTCTGCGGCTCAAAAGGTAGCAGTCAACTGTGTGCCCAGTTGTTCTGAAGGAGCTAGACATTCCAGGCCAAGTACAAAGCACACACATTGAAGGAGATATCTTTCCTCAGTGGATTTGAAGAGAAATACCAATGTATGGGGGAATGGAGGGAAATAAGAGAGGCTTAAAGCAGGTGTGCAGTAAGAAGAGAAAGCTATATAATCTCACAGTCTCCAATACAGTTGTTTTCTTCCTCTCCACACCATCTTCTGCTGCTACTAATCAGGTTGTAGGACTAATAATGTCTTAAATTTTATATACAGCTGTTCACTCC